AGCTGGAAGCAAAAAGTAATTAAATAAACAATAAAAGACTCTCAGGAATCATTCTTTTATATAAGTGTCAACCAACAAGGAGTTGAGGAATACTTAAGATTTTTAAAATCAATAAAAGTGCAATTCAGCCATTTATTTTATGTATCGGCGAGGATATAATTAATCCCATAAATGTAACAATATATTTTAATAATATTCGGTATACATTTTTTAATATATTAAAGGCTGTATGTTTCAAAATTATATATTTTTTGACCTTGATTTTCCCCTCGAATCGGAAATGTTTTAGAATTTTATTTCCCATTATTTTTTCATAATGCAAGGAAGTCAGTCTTTTTCGAATGTGCATATTTTGCCTGAAGTACTTAAGAATAATAATAATAATTGTGAATCGGAAGGAAAATGTTAAATGTTGGTTTCTATTTAAAAGAAAAATCAATTACATCATCAGCCCATCATAGTTGACGTAACCTTTTTTTTAAGTATGTCAAAGAATGAAAAACATAAATTGACTTATTTCTTAAAAATCGACTAATTTCGAAATAATGAATTTATTCCAAATATTTCCACCATAGTGTATATGCTGCTCAAAAAACATTTTGATATTAGATTTTAAGCGTTTGTGTTTGTTATTGTTTGTTTTTATTTAAATTTTGTGCCACTTAGGTATAAGTTTTTAATATTTTTTTTTTTTTTAATTCAATATATACATTTTTTATAAAACTTAAGAACTATTTTTTCTAATTGTACTTCCTTTCATCACTTAGAAAAATGAATAATATTCATTGTTGCAAGAAAGAGATTACACTAAATCCAAGTGAGTACATTGAAATAAGTCAATAATGTTTATTAATTCAATAAAAAAAATTCTCAATACAATTCACTAATTATACCAGACCAATGTTGTAATACATTGAAATAATACAAGAATATTCATTGGTTCAATGAACAAATTCATTCAAATAAATTGAAAATGTTTATTGATTTAATAAAAAAAGTATTGTTTCAATGCACAAATTATATCAAATCAGTGTACTAATACATTGAAATAACGCAAGAATATACATTGATTCAACGAATACATACATTGATATAATAATCAGATTTTACTGAATCCATGTACTAATTCATTTAAATAACGCAAGAATATTCATTGCTTCAACGGACACAAATACATTGATATAATAATCAGATTTTACTGGAACTATGTATCAGTTCATTGAAATAACGCAAGAATATGCATTGGTACAATGAACAAATACATTGATATAATATTCAGATTTTACTGGATCTATGTACTAATTCATTGAAATAACACAAGAATATTCATTGATTCAACGAAAGCATACATTGATATAATTTTCAGATTTTACTGGATCTATGTACTAATTCATTAAAACAAAGCAAGGATGTTTTTTGATTCTATAAAGATGTAGACTGATACGATGAACAAACTCGTTGAAGCTACATATGTCAGAATGTACATAGAACAAATAAACAAATTTATTGACAAAATGAATGAATATCATTATATAAGGGTACCAATTCATTGAAATTAGGAAGTCATATTCATTAAATTCGTGTACTTATTCTTTAAGCTAAAGAAATATAGTTCTTTACGCTAATGTACTTATTTTCGTGATAACAATAAACGTTTATCAGTTATTGTACGAACATACATTGTATTAATAAAACTGTGCATCGGACGAAAATTAATGTACAATATTTATTAATACAATGTTTTTTTTTATTGTATTTACGTACCTTTTTGGTTCAGTGTAAGATCCGAAGTAAGGTCGACCTTCACCCATCTGTTTAATGAATAAAAGTTTCTTTTTAAAATATGTTTATAAATATACCGCAAATGGGTTGCCTAAGAAAGTACGGTCCAGACTATTTATATTTTCCTAACGTAAATGAAACGACACCCTGTAAAGTATTCTCTAGATGCTTCGACTATGCCCAAACTATAATCTGCTCACCGCAGGATAGATTAAAGCTTAACTTTAAAGTTTGGCGTTTTTCTCTTGATCCGTTTTTGAGTTATCTTCAAAATTTGAAATTTGCACTTTTATTCAAATATTTCGAATTAGGTGCATTTTAGGGAAATCATGTATGGGAACAAAATAATAGATAATGACATCATAAGCAACTTTTATTATGATCCCTATACTTTCCGTATCTGTACACAGAAAGGGAAGTAAAAAATGGTCGTGACCGTATTTTCTTAGGCAACCCATTTGCTGTATATTTAAAAACATGTTTTATTTATTAAAAAAAAAACTTTTATCCATTAAACAGATGGGTGAAGGTCGACCTTAATTACGGATCTTGGACTATAACTTTAATTTTGTTGTTGTTTAACGAAAGAAAATTAAACATGAAACCTTTTCGTATGATAAGTTGCTTTTATATTTATGTTGACAAGTGACGTGCATTGCCTGACAAAACTTCTGTCATAATGGGTTTTTAACGATTCACTCAACATATAATAGAAAACAAGTTTATAGTGTTCAACTGGATCATTTAAATAAATTGAAAACACAAATGGATGCAATCAAGTTAACAATATTTTAAATCCACCAATCACAGTTCAAATTTTTGGTCACCCAATACTAATATTTCAAAAATTTTAAATAAGTGTCAATTCTATCAAACTAATCGTCAGTTCATTAAAATGAGTTAGTTTTTAGTAGAATCGATAAATAGTAGCATTTCTATTTTTATTTCGTCCACATTTTAAAATAAAGTTAAAATTTTAATAAAACTTATAGGAAATACTGAGAAAGTAAACAAATTTTTTTCCAAATTACAAGCACAAAACTTAAGAAAATTGTTGGTGTCATTAAAATCATTTCCAACTTTTCACAAAAAAAAGAACTAAGAGGCCGCACGTCACCAAACTTATTGAAAATATCAAGAATGCTATATTCTTTTAAATTCCATGCACAAAATTTCTGAAAAATGTCATCTTAGTTAAAAATCATCCTAAAATTCCATTTTCAAAGTTTCTCAAAAATATCGACGACAGCTAAAATCATCCCCTCTCATAAATTTAAATATTTTTTTCACAAAACAAAGAGACGCCAAGCCCTAATATTCACAGAAAACAATACTTATGTAATATACTTTCAAATTCTATGTTCAAAACTTCAGAAAAATATCGGCATCATAATTTTTTCACAAAAAAAACTAAGATGCGTCACGCTTAAAACTCACGCTTCAATTTCCAGGCTCAAAATTTCTGAAAACTATCGTCGCGGCGTTATAGCTAAAAATCATTTGCTTCCACTAAATTTAAAATTTTTTTTACAAAAAACTAAAACTAATAGAAATTAATATAAATGTGTTCTTTCAAATACGATTTTCAAAATTTCACAGAAATATCGGTCATACCTAAAATCACCCCTTCCATAAATTTACATATTTTTTCATATAAAACTCACAGAAAATGATAATGTAAATATTCTTTTAAATTCCAACCACATCTCATAAAAAGTACTGTTACATCTAATTTAGAGAAATTATATCTAATTTATTTAAATTTTATATAATTAATGATTCAAAAATTTTTTTGGGTTCAGTTGCGATAAAATGGGTTGAATTATTTTTGGTTTTTTAAAATATGTAAATAATTTTGTAAAAAAAAAGAAAATAATTAAATATGCATGACAACAGCCTATATTACACCCTCCTGTGCCCCTTAGAATGTCTTATTCAGGACCGCACGATATTTGTTTGTAGTTACATCTCCTCTTGTTATCTCTGGTCTAATCTTGAACTCAGCAGACAGTTATTTGAATAGCTCGTTGAAATACCTAATACGATTGCAGCAAGCAGTTAAATAGATGAATGAGCTCCTTGTACTTGAATCAATTTCATCATAAAACAAACGAATTTTTGAAATATCTTAAAAGTTTTGTCGAATACAATTACCGATGAAGCCAACGACTCATTAAATTAAATCATTTTAAAACCAGTTTTAAAGAGTTTTAATAATAATAAAAAAAATGCAGAATTTTCGCACAAATGCGACTTTTACATAAGATTATCTAGGTACTTTGAGATTTTAGGAATATTCCCAGGACCAATTTGAACATTTCGCATCTTCTCCTGATTTGTTAAGGCTGATGGGCAACCATGGTTAATTCAAAACATTAATAATACTAATAAATTAAAAATATATAAGATATTTTTCTTAATTGGTACGTCTATGATAAGTAAATTCTAACCTATAAATACTTACACTTAAAACGAAGAATTTGGGTCCAGTTTGTCTTGCTTTTTACCATGTTTAAAGTCTGTATTTTAACAAAATAACAAAAAACCACTTTTACAAGAAAAAAAACTAAGAAAAACCGATGTACAATAACACTAAACAATTTTTACAACGTCAACTGTCAAAACAAGTTGATGAAATCATGAATGAATATTTTGTAATCTCGTAATAAATAACGTAATATACCTTGCCTACAAAATGCTAGGCTACTGTTACATCTAATTTAGAGAAATTATATCTAATTTAATTAAATTTTATGTAACTAATTAATCAAAAAATTTTTTGGGTTCAGTTGCAATAAAATAGGTTGAATTATTTTAGGTTTTTTAAGATATGTAAATAATTTTGTAAACAAAACGAAAATAATGAAATATGTATGACAACAGCCTATATTATACCCTCCTGTGTCCCTTAGAATATGTCTTATTCAGAACTGCACATATTTGTTTGTAGTTACATCTCCTCTTGTTATCTCTGGTCTAATCTTAAACTCAGCAGACAGTTATTTAAATAGCTCGTTGAAATACCTAATACGATTGCAGCAAGCAGTTAAATAGATGAATGAGCTCCTTGTCCTTGAATCAATGTCATCATTAAACAAACGAATTTTAGAAATATCTCAGAAATTTTAAATTTATTTTTTTTTTCTCAGGATTTCAGTTTTTATTTTTTAGTTGGTAGGTAGACAAAAGAGTACATGTAAAAACCATTTGATAAGTTACTATTTGTTTATTTAAGAGAACACATTTTTTTTGAAAATAGTTTTTGTTCGGATGTTTTAATTAATTTAAACACATTATTAAATAAAAATATATGGTTCATATTTTCAGTAGCAGCTAAAATTATTGTATGGACGCCCCTGATTATAAATACTTTATTTTGCAGTAAAACTATCTTTTACAAATACAATTAAATTTCGAATCCTTTCTTTAAATATGTCGTAGTTTTTAAATTCAAAATTCATTGTTTCGACCATGTCTTCATCTTCTGTCATTTCACCAAAATCGGGTGCTTCTTCAGAATCGCATAACATTATCTTCAAAATCGAAAAGCACATGTACAATCCAAATAACATAAATTGGTTTATATGGTTTTCAAAC